GAGAGTCCCTCAACACCTGCATATCTATCAGCTGAAATTGACAAGCGTCCAAAGGATTATATCCTAAACCAAATTGAAGGCCTTATACAGATAACAAATAGCCCATAACACGTGAAGCGGTGCGGATCTTCCGTCTTATGATGCTTTCATCCAATACGGAGAACTATCCAAGACAAAGAAACGATAAAGGTGCGTGCCATTTTATTATGCATGTATTGATGATGATGCGTTGTTTAAAATGCGTTACATGTGTTGGCTACAAACAGCCAGGCTCGCTGATCAACTTAATGATTTAAGCACTCTTGAAGACTCAAACATGAAACTTACAAACAGTATCACACGTTTACTTCTCCCATTGCGTTACTGAAATGAGAAAACGACATCAACAGCAAAATATATAAATTTCTGATAGAAAGGAAGGTAAGTGTGCTATTTTGTGTTATTTTTTGAATATGTTACAACTGTAAAAAAAGTTTGTGTATAAATCGTATACCTTTTGATACAGATGTATGCACCGTTGCCTAATTTATGGCAGCATCGTTTCATTTTTACGGAAAAGTCTTCACCGTTGCTATGTGTCTGCACCGTTGTCGAGACAAATAAAAAAGTAGACAGATTTCGACACAACTAATAGAGAGACAATATGTTGAAATTACACAGAGGATTTTAAACATAATTGCCTTTTGTACGGAGATTGAGAAATTTACCACTTCTATAGGTGCATTAATTCATAAATGTTTTTGTTTCAGGAAATAGAAATTATCAACTAAAAGTCATCGCCAATGACGATAGGGCTTCTTGTCATATGATAATTACACGTTAGCGTACGATAATAATTGATGACATCATTGACCTTTATTAATACATTGACCCATGTATGACATCATTGACCTTTATTAATACATTGACCCATGTATGACATCATCGACCTTTATTAATACATTAAAGGCATATAACTGGCTTGACAAAGACTTAAAAGATTCACATGGTTTGCGAAATCCTGTTAAAATTGTATGAAAGGGGTCTGATGGATTTTTTATCCGAACCAAGACTCAATATTATCATATATAGAGGATATTTGTTTAGTTCAGTGTAAGATCGGAATACCAAAAGGTATATTTCACGAGTGGCGCAGCCACGAGTGAAATATGAACTTTTCGTGTTCACATGGTGAAATATATTACAATCTTACACTAAACTAAACAAATTTTCTTTTTATTACATGCAAAGAAAAGTTTTAAAAGACATTTAACCTAATACTGAATGAAAGTCGCGCCAAATAATAATACAACGTGACGTCATTTACGACGTCACGTCATTAAGTTGGTACCCAGTACTGTGCACGCTGGTATTTTAAGGGGCTTAAATTCAAAACAGTGAAATTATCAAAGTGGTAATTTCACTGTTTCAAACAGTGAAATTACCAGTTTTATATCACTGATATATTTCTATAAACCACCGAAAAGCATGTAATAAAAAGAAATTATGACTGTTACTCACTATTATTATTTAAACATATATAATGACGAAGACTTATGATCTATACTGTCCAGCAAAACGCTTCCATTTTATTACCACTAATATTTCTTATCATATCCTGCAACCTTAAAATGAGAGTTTCCAGCTCCCCCTGTCATCGAATTTCCAAGACGCAGTTCTAGCGATATCTTTAACCAAACTAGGTTCAAAGTCTTCATAAGGTTATGGTATGATACGCTCATAACGTATTGTTCCTCAGTAGAATCTTAAGGTCTCCATAAAAGACCTTTAATCAATACGATTATTTTCTTAGGAATCTCTAATGTGCTAAAGTTCTATACAATATTTATCAGTAATCACACAAAAGAAGGGTTAAATTTTGATAAAATCTTGAACACAAATTCAGAATGTCATATTGGATACAAATAGTTAACAAAACTAATGTTTTATATGAATTGTGTAAAAGGCATTTGTTTGACTAGGTTTATCAAGACTTTACCTTTCTTCAAATTATGTCTTATTTGGCTTTGACATTTATGTGATACGAACTTGCAAACAACAGAAATTTCTCGTGTAGCATTTTTTGTTATATTTGGATATTTGGAAATACGGTGACAGTGTTTCTATAGTGACCAAGATATATTAGTAAAATGTTATGTTACATCGTAAAAAAATGTGTTATCTACAAACATCAGCGCGAGTTTTTGTTCGAATCAATTCTTGTGATACTGATGATTTCAAAACAAACACAAACACAGTCAATTTAAATGACTTTGATTTAAGATAGATCAATCAAACCCAGTGTAAGAATGTTGAAGCAAGATTATTTCACAACAGTCATAATGTATTTCCGTTTAATGATATAAATGATAAGACACAATGTAACAATCAATAGAAATGACGAAATAGTTATCTCAAAATGATTCATAAAATTTACGTGTGTTCCTTTCGGAAATTATACTTCTTCATTTTATTGGCCAAAAGCAGTTGGAATGTGGAACAACATCGTTAAAAAGCTAATCATTGTTCGATCGCCTTACAGAACAACTATCGTCTTTGGCCAAACGTAACGTAAATTACATTTGGTTTGAATTACAAATATTATAATCAAAGGAATGATAAAGTATCCACATAATTGAAAATCTGATGATTCTTGGAGCTTTAATTGCTTTGACATTTCTTTCATGATGCACATTTTAAGACAGATGTTTTAACATTTTTTCGTACTTGTTGACTTATGTTTAAATTCGCAGCTGTTAAAAAGTCGATTCGTCCATTCATTCTGTACAAAATATTACATCGTTAACTTTGTGTTGTTGTTGTTGTTGTTCAAATTATCCGGCAGTTTATCATATTCATGACATTTTATAAGTTTAATGTAGTATATTTCTCCTACACATTAACCTTGAAACATACAGTATATGGGTGCTTTTGTGAATTAAATACCAGCTGTATAACCTGACAACTGTATGAATGAAACTGCGTAAGTTACCGTGTGTTCTTAAAGGAACTCTTCTTAGGACCAAAATCCTTAAATACATTTATGAAACTGAAAAATGTGTATAATTACCAATGCCCACAAAGCATCGGTCACACTTAGCAAAAATAAGATGTGGAGTTGCACTTCTCAGTCTAGAAACAGGAAGATATGAGAATTTAGATATTTATTACAGGAACTGTCCAATTTGTAAAATAAAACAAAATATTGAAACAGAAATACACGTGTTAACTCAATGTCCAGCTACCCTACTTCTAAAAATTTGATAAAGCCAATGATATTAGTGCTTATTTTATTTATATGAATGATGAAAAAAGCATGTTTGTATTGTCAAATCCCGAAACTGCCAAATAAATTAACTGCCAAAACCTGCACGTTTTGATACTTTGTATCATTAATAAGGTTATAGTTAATTACCTGTGTAGAATTCTTTTAATTCGTTTAAAATGTATTTAAAATTATGTATCATTTATTTTTTATCTTTTTATGATATTGCTTAAACGTTTGTTATTAAATGTAAATAATCATTGCTGATTTGCTCAGGGTTGATATGTATAGTTCTTTTTTTAGAACCGTTATTTTTTTCAATACAGTTCTTATAATTTAGTATCTTTATCTTCAAATCCTTATTATTATATTAAAATATGGATTAGCAATGGTAATTTTTTTTAAAACAAGTTAAGGTTGAGTTAAGTGTTCCTGTCTCATACATCTCATATATTACAATATCATATTTTTTCATTGTTTCTATGCCATGATGAAATATATCATAAGAGTTTTGAATAAGTAAGTAAATATATAAAGTAACAACAATAATGTTCATTTGTTTCTATTTAAATCAGTATTTTTAAGTTGGATAACGATAGTCTCCTATAAATCTTTGACAGATTGGCCATGTTTTTATTGCTATGTTATATGTATGTTTTCTACTATGTAAATATGCATGGACATAAATAAAAAAATTACACTTTAATTTGAATTTCTTAAATAGATCAGCGCTTAAACAATAAAATTGTATAATATAATTAAAATATATCCAGATATAAGTTAAAAATCGTTATTCTCAGTTCGATTTTAGTCAAAAGCGTTGTAATGTTTTACAGTCTTGAGTCATCTTTTTACAATTAAAATAATTTTTCTGGGGAAAATAGAGTGTGATCTTATTTTTTGCACACAAGCTATTGGCCTAGATCTACGTCAAATGAAAAATCTCACTGCATTCCCTTTAAAGTTATAAATTATGTTAAATAAAAATTGAACATAAATTGTAGTGAAAGTCTGCTCATCCATCATATGTATATTTAAGATGATACAAAATCTTGTCAGATTTTATGAATGAAGACTTTATTTAAAGATTCACGCATGGAAAATCTTACATTTCATACTTTTTTTCAGAAAAAAAGAGAACAAATTTAACATAAATAAAACCTTTTAAACGCGCAAAAAACCCGCTTATATACGGTATAATACATAACCTTATAAATTATTCATCACCTTATATAATTGTATTATATTTGTAGTTTGCACTTGAGAACTTTTTAGAAGTAACTGACGAAAAAAAGGGTCAATGACTCACTTTAAAAACAGTATTCCGTGTTAAATTTATGGATAACATTACAATATATTTACATACATAATATCATTTTAGTTAATATATTGGTATCAGTTTAAAGTTATATAACTACCCATATCTTTTTTTAATAACCTTGAATATAAATAGGTTGGATAACGCTTAGCATACTCTATCGAAAGTTTAATCGCACTAAATGCTAAAGTATACCGGATGCGCCTAAATGTACCTAAAATTCACGAAAGCATGATTCCGTTCGTATGAATACGAAAACAAATTTAATCATATAGGAACTAAAATAGGATTGTGTCCGTTTAAATCTACTAGATAAACGACAAAAGTTTTGCTTGTTATTTAATGTAAACTTCGGATTTTATCGTTTTACTATAATAGTAAACATTAAATATTACGTAAAGTCTGAGTGATAGAGATACATTCTGTTAAACTGTTTTTAAAACAGCAATTTTGATAAATGTTTAACTCACATTACGTATTTTTCGAGAGACTATTTGCCGTAAATTTATATGCCAACACAAACGGACAAGATATCATTTTATTCATCGGATTTATTGTTTCCTTTAGCAGAATCTGTAACATGGAGGAAGTGACATGACGTGAAGGCGTTGAACGGTCAAGGTACGTACGGTTGGCCATTTACAAGGGGTATTTGTTAAGCTTCAGTCAGCATATTTTTTACTTACTTGGCTAGTATTTGCATGTACAGAAAAAAACACATTCTGTGCTACAATTTTATGTACGAGGAACTCTGAATAAACATTCTAAGTGAATGACATTTTTAATTGACTATTACTAAAGTAATGTACACTGCGATGCAAATTGACAATGAACACGAGTTATTATGGCGTACTAAGTCGTGCGCACAAGATAATTAAGTTTAAGATAAAATCGTTTCTGTTTTTAGCCATTTTTAAATAATATCATTCATGTATTTTAAGAATTTTCTGATTGGCTTATCATCTCGTGCTAACGACATAGTAACTCTACCTCACAACTTAATTATCTCATGTGTACAATTTTGTAACTTTTGCGCAAGAAATAGTTTCTCGTGTGAAGAACTTAATTATCTTGTGTGCACGACTTTGTTTCAGGAATTTTGTACTTCACAACAGCAGGAGTCAAATGCAATGAGGCAGCCGTAAAAAGTTGCCCCGTACTTCACTTCAGTGTTGTTGTATTTTCTGGTCCTTCCTTTTTCATTATCCACGCCCGTTTAACTCACAACGAGTGAAAAATGTCCATCGGTAAAAATGTTGTGAGCAACTTCCGTTCCTCGTTGTGAGCACCCATCTATGACGTGTGACACGATAAACAAAGTGAGTTTTTCATAATTTTTGAAGATTACAGACATTTATGTAAAATTATCGGAATGCAGTTAGCTAGCGATGTGTTTTCCGAGTATGCACATGTAAAGATATTGCCTGTTGGTGGACAATTTGATGGAAATACCGTGCGACGCAGTCACTCGGGGTAGCTGGAAAACTGGAGACAACTTCACTTTGGACCTAATTTAACATTGAAAAACGTCGATTCTGGTGACGTTTTGTGCATTCTAACCTAAAACAGATGCCCACAAGTCTTCAGCGTAAATTATTTTCTGAAAGTCTTCATAGAAACGAAGATATACCCTTTTTTGCTTTAATCCTCGTTGTGAGCACCATAACCTCGTTGTGAGCAAGACAAGCGCAGTGCGTGTATGGTTTTAATATGTAATTCAGATGGTGAAAATATAATTTTCAATCTACCAAAGCAATTAAAACGTTTTTGCACAGCAGCATTTCTTTGCAAGACGTTGTGCATACTCCAAAGGGAGGCATATTAGTTTTAAACTGTCCGTCTGTCAGTCCGTCAATCCGTCCGAAAACTTTAACATTGGCCATAACTTCCTTATTAGTAAACGGATTTGATTTATATTTGAACACAACATCCCTTAGCACAAGACCTTCCTACGGACCTGTATTTTTTACCTTGACCCCTGAATGACCTTCACCTTGAAGGTCAAATTGTCCAAAAACTTAAAAATTGGTCATAACTTCCTTATTAGTATACGGATTCTACTCATATTTTGACACAACAACCCTTTAGACAAGACCTTCAAACTGGTTTGTATTTTTTTTTACCTTGTACCCTGAATGACCTTCTAGAACATCCAAAAACTTTAACATTGGTCATAACTTCTTTATTAGTAAGTGGAATTAATTCATATTTGGACACAATGCCCCTTTGGACAAGACCTTCCAACTGACCTATATTTATATCACCTTGACCTTGAATGACCTTCACATTGAAGATCTAATTGTCCAAAAACAAATAATCTATCTGGTCCATAAATCAAAGGACAAAGCACCACTTCGGGGGCATTGTCAACTTACCGTGACAGTTCTTGTTTTACATACCTTGGTCAGTCTTCAGCTCATGATAAACACATATATGTGTGTATCACACAGATTGTGAAATTGTTGAAATATTCATAAACTCCCCGTGATGTTCAGTCGTGCCACACTAGAGTATACGAAATAAAATACCTGATTTACCTCCACTGATTAGTTCTTCCGTTAATCTGATGACTTGTGAATATGAAGAATAATTTTCAAAAAAAAGAAGAACTACTGCAAAGAAAAACTATTGTACAAAAACGTTTTGATTGCTTTTGGTAGATTGAAAATTGTATTCTCGTCATTTGAATTACATATTAAAACCAGACAAGCACTGCACTTGTCTTGCTCACAACGAGGTTATGGTGCTCACAACGAGGATTAAAGCAAAAAAGGGTATATCTTCGTTTCTATGAAGACTTTCAGAAAATAATTTACGCTGAAGACTTGTGGGCATCTGTTTTAGGTTAAAATGCAAAAAACTTCACCAGAATCGACGATTTTCAGTGTTAAATTAGGTCCAAAGTGAAGTTGTCTCCAGTTTTCCAGCTACCCCTAGTGACTGCGTCGCACGGTATTTCCATCAAATTGTCCACCAACAGGCAATATCTTTACATGTGCATACTCGGAAAACACATCGCTAGCTAACTGCATTTCGATATTTTTACATAAATATCTGTAATCTTCAAAAATTATGAAAAACTCACCTTGTTTATCGTGTCACACGTCATAGATGGGTGCTCACAACGAGGAACGGAAGTTGCTCACAACATTTTTACCGATGGACATTTTTCACTCGTTGTGAGTTAAACGGGCGTGATTATCCCTTATGACTCAATCAAACCGAGTCTGCAATTCTTATGTTATTTTGTTGTGATTAATGCTTCCGAGGGATCACTTTGTTTCCAGAATTGAGTAACTCATGCGCACGAATTAGTATTTCGTAAACACGACATAGTATCTCGTGCACCCGAGGTAAATAAAAACATACACATGTCACCTCTGTGCTACCTTGACAATAAAAAACAGTAGAGTTTTCACATTGCTATGCTTTGACGCGGCTGATATGGACACTTTTTGACAAAGTAAATGGTTGAAAGATCTTCCGCAAACCACATGTAGGGTAAGGGTCCGGTTATTTAATATCAGTAAAGAGATATCTATACATTTTCCGAAAGGAAATGGCGTCTTGAAAAGTGCTTCTGAGTAAATGATAAAGGCTTTGAAGAAGGACTAAGCATTTACACCGGAACGTCCGGCCTTCAACTACTATCGTGAAAATTAATTATTTACCGATTCCCTTCATACAATTGTAATATAAATAAGGCGACTTCTTCTGGCACTTTTCTGTTTTAAAATATCAATTTGTCAAGTTCTTAAGTATCTAAATATAATGATAATAAAACTGGGGAAAATTATCGAAAAAAAAAAGCAAGTTTACATTACAATGTTTAAAAATTCTTATTTTTTAGGTCAATTAATCTTAAGTGACGAAGGCCTAAATGGTGTTTGTAAATATTATCGCATGTGATCTTCATATATCAATGAATACTGTTTTTGTCAAGAAACTGTATATTTTAAGTTAAAATAAAACGAAATGTTTACCGAAACAGAAGTCTTGATAAGACATATTTGTGAAATCAATCGCTCAATACCAGTTTTTTATATTGTTTCTAAAATAATTATATTAGAAAATTGCATTTTAGCGACTTAAAAAAAACGACTTTAGCATCATTTTATTCATACTTTATTTTAGTCTCATTTGTAAACACATACATTTACATAAATACAAACACCTAACATACACATCATGTATACAACCATTCTTATAAAGAATTTCAAGAGACATAAACAATTATTACATTTTTCAAGATAGAGAAATATCTTATATAAACAACATACACATATAACATATAGATCTAATCAACCTCAATAAAATAACCTGTCTAGGTAACTATTGTTTTTCATTTATCGGCATATGTAAGAACTTTCATAAATACTGTCATCGATTTTAAAGAACTCTTACACACTTCAAAACATCCCCCATCAAACAGCTAATGCTACCAAAAGAACAATGATGAAATGCAGTACAATATCATATCAATGTAGTAATGTCTTATGCTTTTAAAAACTCAAAGTTCATAAAGATCAATTAAAATATTTTTGGAGATAATGATATATCGAAATCACCATACTCAATTAAACGCATCAAATTTAGTTTATCAAGTAAGCATTGACAATTAAATTAAATTTGTCAAGAACATTACCAATTTCTGTGAATAATCACATACCAATAAACTGTTTGAATTATTGTTTATGAAACTATCAATTTACTAGACTGTTTAAATTTACCGATTTACCAGAGTAAATGCCTTATGAATCATTTAAAATACTGCAATTCTATTGGACATAAAATAATTTCAAACACTAAATCAAAATTAACCAATTGTTTCAGAATGACAAGCAATCATTTGGAATGGCTTAAGATAGAAACTAGATAACATCCTTTTGTATTATAAATAATCTTATTCTAGTAAGGTTGTAAGAAGCATGTAATTTAAAGGAAAATATCAACCTTTTGTATGTTATACGTTCTATTTTTAGAAGGTTTAAAACATTCATAAATCAGATTATGATACCATTTTGTCATATAACAATCTGTTTTAATGTGTTTGTTTCTAAATTGGAACGTTAATACATAGTGTATAACTTATTTTTTAATGAACATGTTTTACGTCTTTAAATCGTAGATACATTATGCCTATCAATTAATGTTATACGAGCTACCAAACACGAATACTTAATTTGTGTCATACAATATATTTTGACAATGAATTTTGTTTTATAGGCACAATTATAAACACGTTTTATACAAAAGTTTAAAAGCGTACAAACACGTGTTTTTTTAACATATTTCGATAATTCATTCAGAGTTCGCCAGATGGTTTACATCTGTTGAAAGTAGTCCTGACAGTTGAATAACTTTATCGTTAAACTAGACAAAGTATTGTTTTTGTTGTATTTTTGTTACATCCCCGCAAAATGCTATGAAACTATGCCAATACTAAAGTATCAGAAGAATATAAAATGTTTCATCTGTTTTCTGTTTGTTTGTCTTTGTCTTTTTTTTTTGTTTGTTTGTTTTTTGTGGGGTTTTTTGTTGCTTTTTTTTTGTAAATGATCCTTTTGATAGTAGTTGCAGGCTATGATTGGCAATAAATTTACGTAAATTGTTTAAGCAAA